GCTGGAGTACATTAGCCCAATCAAAGCTCATTGTTAGAGCCTCAAACTTCTGGGCTCAAGGGATCCTCTTGCCTCAGCCTCTGGAGTAGTTGGCACTACAGGCACATGACACCACACTTGGCTAATTTTTAAATTTTTTGTGGAGATGGAGTCTTGCTTTGTTGCCCAGGCTGGTCTTGAACTCCTGGCTTTAAGCAATCCTCCCACCTTGACCTCCAAAGTGCTGGTATTGCAGGCATGACCCACCCAACCTGGCTCTTAGGAAAATTCTTTCTGGTGTTTTTCATGCCATGAATGGGGTGCAAAAAACAAGTTTGACACTGTTTGTGTCTATTTGGAAAGACAATAATAGATGTAGAAAAGACACTTAAGGCACATCTCACAAAAATGTACACATTCATTGTATGTTCTTTCGTACGGATGTTTAGTTTAATTGTTCAAAAAATCAAGATGTTTGTAGACTCAGTGAAGGCAGAGATTGAAGCCAAAGCAGAAAAATGAATAGCACATCTTGGGTTTTTTGTTTGTTTTATTTCAGCATGTTATGGGGGTACAGATGTTTAGGTTACGTATGTTGCCCTTGCCCCTCCCCCCCTACATCTTAGGTTTTGATTTTATAGTATTAGCCTCACATGTATGGGTTAGGATTTCTGTTGGATTCATGGAGAAATAAGATAGGTTGTTTTAGAGAAGCAATTTAGTGTGGTGGTAAAGAGCATAGACTCTAGGGTCAGGCTGCCTGGGTTCAAAATCCTGTGAATCATGTGACCTTGGAGAAGTTATTTATACTCTTTTTTGTCTCGGTTTCCTTCTATACCATGAGGATGATGGTAACTACTTCATAGAGTTGTAGGGATTACATGAATGTGCATGTATGTGTATAACGTAAAAGAATGCCTGGCTTATATACTAGGTACTTTCTCACTATTTACTATTTGGAAAAGGTGAGTCATGAATAACAAAAGGGGATAGCAACAATTGATGGCTTAAAGAGACAAGTTAATAAAAGGGACTTTAAACGTCGTGTAATTTAGTTTCATTATTTTGCAGTGAGAAAATTGACAAGTAAATGTAGTTTAAGCACTTTGTCCAAAATGTCACATGGCCAGTATTACCTACATGAAAGGAGTTTTTATTTTTTAGGACATGTAAGTTAAATGGTCTTTGCAAGCTAGCTTAACAAGATAAATCAGCTAAGCATTTTTAATTAGAATGTGGCATAATAGCGATGAAATATCCTGATTTGTTGCATGAATTACAAAGGCAGTTTTCATGCTATTAGAGGACATTTTAGGGAACATTGTCAAGATGGTCATCCGACGTTAGGAGAGTGGAGGTAGAGTAGATGCAGAGAGAACAGCTAGAGAGTACCCTCTAGAAGAGCGAGAGATAAGGACCTGATATGTGGTAGACTTGCATGATTAAGATAAAAAAGAAATAGAAAAGTAAGAATTGTAAAAGGAAAGAGAAATAGTGCTGTCTGAAAAAAATAGAGTAGAAGCTAAAGGATATGTATCACCATTTGCATTTAATTGTTAAATGCTATTGATTTTAATGAATTTTACATGTCTCATTAATATGGTAGTTAAAATAATTTTTGTAACATCAATGAAGAAAGGTACGAAAATTGAAAATTTGTTCCTTATGACTAGAAGAGGGTAGAAATGGAAGATTATTTGGCCTTAGAGTTGTTCGTTACTCTGTTTTCCTGATTTTTGTATGTCATCTTACTTTCTTGCAGGGCCCAGTAAATCCTTTAGGGCCACCTGTACCCCATGGGCCCCATGGGGTCCCAGGCCCCCATGGGCCTCCTGGGCCTCCAGGGCCTGGAACTCCAATGGGACCATACAACCCTGCACCTTATAATCCAGGACCACCTGGCCCGGCTCCTCAGTAAGTACTGGGTTTGGTTCTGGGCTTTTCCTCAAAGATTCTAGCTTTTGGTAAATTGTATTTTTATGCTGATTTTCTTTTCAGTGGTCCTCCAGCCCCATATGCTCCCCAGGGGTGGGGAAATGCATATCCACACTGGCAGCAGCAGGCTCCTCCTGATCCAGGTAAAAAAAAAAAAAAAAAAAGATAGTTATCATTACGTGCTATCTGTAGTATTTGTTTTCCACCCCTGGTACATTCTTAAATGTTCTAGTATGGATTCTCCATTTGTATGCTTTGTCTTCATTTATTTTAGTCTTTCGGCAGAGTGTTAGGCACTGCTTTTACCACAGTGTATAAGACCTACATGGAATATGTTATCTGCTTTTATGAAACTTTTTTTCTACCTGCATTTGGCTTTCTCTAGTTATGAATTGATACAGCAGAATGCTGAAAGCCAAAAGCTACAGGAAGAAGTACAATGTCTTAGGTTTTAGATACCAGTTCTGTGAGTTGTATAGTATGTTAAATGTGACAATATCCATGAAAGGATAATTTACATTTATTTATAAAATTATGTGAGAGGGCAACAGAGTGTTAAATACTTGGTCATTAAATTACGAAGTTATCAAATAAGATATAAACTGTTTTAGTACTTTTGATAAGGCAACTTCATGTTAGTAAAAGTCAGTCCTATATTTAATAACTGCATGCTGGAACTTTAAAATATACTTAAATATTTTCTGTATTCAGATCTGAATTTTATATATATTACGTTCTATTCTATTCTTGCATCTTCTCCCCGTCGTTTGCTTTCCATCTTGGTCAAAGAGTCATTCTTTGAAACCAGTTGACATTTATTTATGATCCTTTTTTCTCACCTGCTATCTACCTTTTAGGCCTCTCACTGAAGTAGTTTCAAGGAAGGGGTATACTGAATTATGGACTACTTTCTACACATAGTATATTTATCCCAGAAAACCAGAAGTAATTGATTTAAACAAAATTGTGTTGGATTTGATTGAACATTTTGGTATTTAATTGTGTCCCTATATTATAACATACTTTAATTTCATAGGAAGTATGTTCTTTGGAATATGATGACACAACTTAACAGTCACCAATTAACCACAGCTTCTACTTATTCAAGAAACAACTTGAGTTGTGCTAGGATCTGGATATGCAAAGTGAGGTTCATGTGCTATAGCAGAAGAATGCACTTCCAGCATGAGCAATCTTGTGATAGAAGGGCTCACAGGGTACAGAAGAAGTATCAAATATGATTTACTGTATAATATTCTGAAAGTTCATCTTTTGAGAATGAAAGGACTTTTCTTTCTCTCTTAAGCTAATTAGGAGAGTGTATTTAAGCAAAGGAATGTGACTTAAGAGTTTGAGTAGGGGCCGGGCGCGGTGGCTCACGCCTGTAATCCTAGCTCTCTGCGAGGCCAAGGCGGGCGGATTGTTTGAGCTCAGGAGTTCGAAACCAGCCTGAGCAAGAGCGAGACCCGGTCTCTACTAAAAATAGAAAGAAATTAATCGGACAACTAAAAATACATAGAAAAAATTAGCCGAGCATAGTGGCGCATGCCTGTAGTACCAGCTACTCGGGAGGCTGAGGCAATAGGATCGCTTGAGCCCAGGAGTTCGAGGTTGCTGTGAGCTAGGCTGATGCCATGGCACTCTAGCCCGGGCAACACAGTGAGACTTTGTCTCAAAAAAAAAAGAGTTTGAGTAGGCTAAGGGGCAGATTTATATTGTGTAAGTTGGATCTGCCAGGATTTCAACTATGAGCAGTGTTTGAGTAGGGAGCATGATTGAGAAAAATGGAATAAGGAGTAGTCTCTGTTTCACCATCTTTTTTTTTTTGGAGGTGACAATGGTGAACACAATCTGTTTTCAATTTGGAGAAGTAGTGAAGTCACCACTGTAAGAACTGGTCAATGAATGTAGCTTTCAGCATTGCCTTTGGGAAAGAAGTAACCCATTTAGTTAAAAGATAGTCAGCTGGTTGGCCCACCTCAGAGTTACGAAAGGGTTACTGAGTCCCTGGGTTAGATATTGCTTATATTAGACTTAGAATTGTGTAATATTTTATCATCAGTATTATCTGAACTAAAATCTATTTTTATAAAAAAAAATGTTAATGGTCTGTTGTGGATTTATGTAGTGGTCAAGAATTTAGACTTCAGAGCCAAACAAACCTAGATCAGTCCTATGTAGATCCCATAACTTACTAATTGTGGGATGTCAAACAAGTTTTTGAATTCCTAGGCCTCTGTTTTCTTACTATAAAATGGTAAATGAATGAATCTTTTTTTTTTTTTGAGACAGAGCCTTGCTCTGTTGCCCGGGTTAGAGTGCCGTGGCGTCAGCCTAGCTCACAGCAACCTCAAACTCCTGGGCTTAAGCGATCCTTCTGCCTCAGCCTCCCAGAGTGCTAGGATTACAGGCGTGAGCCACTGCGCCCGGCCTATGAATGAATCTTAATGTTGAATGAATATTAAGTTCTTAGTACATATTATATGTAACTGTGAGACTGGTTTTTTGGTGTAGTTTACACATTTGCGAATACAAGTATCATCACTTCCTGAAGTCTTTTATCTTAATTTCTCTATCCAGACATTGTGTCAAGTGAAATACTTGTATTTCTAAATTAACATAGAGATAATGACACTGCAGAGATATGTAAACATCCAACATAGAAAAGCAGTACAGTGAGCAATTGAAAGTTTGGAGGGTGGCTTAATAATATCTTGTAATTGTATCACCTTATAATTTTCTTTTTCTAGAAATCCTTGCTCCTTTTTCTCCAACTTCACTAACCTTTGTTAAGCTGCTGAGAATTGCTGTCTGTTTGGGATGAAGGCTAAACAGATGTACAGACTTTGGCTAAGGAAATTATATTCTTCTTGGGGATACAAACTAACAACAATACACCTGTAGTGTTGTAGGAATATACTAGGAATATCTTCCTAGTATAAAAAGGACAGAATCAGCAAGCAGATTTCTGGGTTCTAGAAGACTGAGAGGTCTCAAACTGTTGCCACATCAGTTGATACATTAAGGATGGATGAGCATGAGCCAAGTGTAGAGGAAATATAACATGGCCAAAGGCCTAGACATGGACATGGTGACTTCTGAAAAGTACAAGCAATGTGTTACGGCTGGAACTTGAGTGTTGAAGAGATAGTGACAGAGGAGGAGATGAGGCTGGAATGGAAAGGATAAGCCAGAGGGTCCAGATCGTTAAAATGTTGAATATGTTGTACTTAAAAGCATTGACCATCCTGAAGATTGTAGGGGATAAATTAAGAATTTCCTGTAGGGTAATGACAACAAGTTTATGACATTTACTGTGAAATAGAATGAAATGTGGCTAATCTCTTTCTTTTTTCCTAAATTTTTTTTCTCTTCATTGGAAACAGGGCGGAACAGCATTCATAGTTCTAAAATAATTGTTTCTTTCTCGTACAAGTTACCCGCTAGAAATCTTTTCTGTTAGTCATCTGCCACGTAGAACCGTTATGCTTGAGGGGAAAAAACAAGGACACGGGATGGTTTAAGCATTGGATTCAGAGCCAAAAGATGTTTATTATTATCCCAATTCTGCCACTCACTAGTTTTGTAACCTAGGAAAGTCACTTGATCTCTAAACCTCAGTTTTCTATAATAAAAGCTAATGGTGACAATGAAAATAATAGAAAATTTGTAAGTTTTCATTTCCTATTTATTTTTGATGTTCTAGTTAATTTTAGGGTCTGCGTATTTGCCAAAGAGCTGTGTGTTTGTGTGTGTGAGAGAGAGAGAGAGTGAGAGAGATTACAGACTTTAGATGCAAACCTTGAACTTGTGTTTATTAATTCTAGCTAAAGCAGGAACGGATCCAAATTCAGCAGCTTGGGCTGCTTACTATGCTCACTATTATCAACAGCAAGCACAGCCACCACCTGCAGCTCCTGCAGGTGCACCAACTACAACTCAAACTAATGGACAAGGTAACTAAAGAGCTTATTTTGTATGTGAAAGCCAAAACTTATATTTGGAATTGTATATGAAGTACACCACTGTTTAATACCTAAAATTTCTAACGGTGTTCAATTACAACTTCAGTAAACAGATTTTTCTTTTGTTAAAAAGTTACTTGGGAATAATTTCAAACTTTTAAAAAAAAGTTGTGAGAATAATACCAAGAATACCAGATAGCACAGCTGTTAGTTTCATTTCTCCATTTATTCCATAATGCTCTCTATCGTATGTGTATGTTCATATCCATTTTTATTCTGAAAGGAACCATTTAAAACTAAACTGTAGACAAGATGCCCTATTAACCTTAAATACTCCTTTATGTATTTCTCTAAAAATACATAACCATCATATGCCCTTCAAATCAGTTAATCCATATTGACATATTATTACTGTGTGAATGCACAGCCCTTATTCAGATTTTAACAATTGTCCCAACATTTTCTCTCTCTCTTGAACTAGGGTCCCATCAGTAACATGTATCTTATTTACTTGTCAAATCTATTAAGTCTCTACTGAGATGAAGTCTTGCACTGAGATTATGCCAGTATCCTGTCCTCCTCAAACTCTAACCTATCAGCCTTAGCCTTCATTGATAACTCTTGCCTGATTCAACTACCACTATGATGATAATTCTCTATTTCCATCATTGTACCTTTATTAATTGATATTTTACTATAAACAGGAACTTTCCTTTTCATCCTATTTAGTTTTTTATGTCAGTATGGATTTCTCATTTTTTTTCCTAATAGGTTATGCTTTTAAACTACTTTTATTATTTTGATAGATTATCCTAGATTTGGCCAACAGGAGTATTTTCAAAGTGGCTCCTTTATCCTTCTGAAATGCTTGTCATTCTTGAAGCACTTCCTTACTGCCTGATAAGATGCATATTTTGTGTTTTCTGGGCTCCATCCCTGGAATCAGCCATTTCTTCAAGGAACCCTGAGTCCTTTTAGTAGAGGATGGTATTTAGAAACCAAACTAAGTGTGCTCATTCCTACTGAGGTGTGTGTCATTGCTGCTAGCTCCTTTCAGCAGACAGACAGCTAGGAAGTACATTTACATACACATACATAAAAAACACAGAAACATCCATATCTTTTTTTTAAAACCTTATATTCATATCACCTGCAAATTCGTTTCAACACTTCAAAGTTTTCTAGCCTTTTCCCTTTTAGAACTTAAAAATGGTGAGAAACTGTTATCCTCAGTGTATTTCCTTATTTGACCCAGTTTACTTATGCTTAATATAACCAGTTTTCCAAACACATTGGCTGTCTTCTCTGTCCACCACCTCTGTATCCGCAATGCCTTCTTGTCTTTGGCACCAGCAGGGATGGCAGTACCATGCAACACCTCCCTCCTAACTCTTATACTCAACAGAAAGAAAGGCCCGAAATTGCCTTTTAAAAACTTTAACCCTATTTTTCGTTTTGTTTTTCTTGAAAAAGGAGATCAGCAGAATCCAGCTCCAGCTGGACAGGTTGATTATACCAAGGCTTGGGAAGAGTACTACAAGAAAATGGGTATGTTGTACATTTCTTAAAAATACATATTTAAATTGAAACACTTAGTAAATACACGTTGGAATGTTGAAGATTTTAATAAAAGCATGTTCGTACCACGTTTTTATTACCTTAGATGACTTTAATCTATTTATTAACTTGTAAAATCTTGAGGAGAAGCATAATTGAATAAGAATGTATTCTAAAATTGCTGGATTTGGAGACATATCGAGACCTTTTCAAATAATAATTTTTAAATTTGTGGTTACATAGCAAGGAAGACTTTTTATTTCTAGTTGCATTTGTCAACCAGTTATTAATTGAAACTAGAAATTTCCTCACTGGCACATACGACGTTGAATATTACTAGAGTGCCAGGCAAAAGTTGGTCGTGTGTGGTATCATTATATCTGCTGCAAAATAAAGCAGGTAAGAAGTAACCTACAGTGACAGAGGAAGTGAATTACATAAATAACATTTGCATATATGAAAAAGGGAAAACAATCACTTAGAAAAGCCGTTTTCATTGAGCAAGTATAGTGTACACACTATATGCCAAGCATAGTTATAGATGCTGAGACTGCAGTTATGGGCATAATAGCTAGGAACCCTGCCTTCTGTTTATATGCTTGTGAAGGGTACAATTGTTTTAAAAAATTTGTAAATACATTACTATAACCTGCTGTGAAGGAAAAGAACTATATCTTCACTGACATTTAACATGTACAGATTGGGGAACAGGTCATACAGCTACTAAATTGTGGAACCAGAATTTGACTTCTAAGAGGGTCTGGGTCCCAGGCATGTGTCCCAGGTTTGTCTCATTGGAACCTATTATACTCTGGAAAAATCGTTATTTTTCAGATGCTTTTGCTCTTAGTCATTTAAAATTAACACACACCACAGCCAGTTGTCACAAATGAAAGGCTAAATAGGTAAACTTGACCCATCTTCCACTAGCATAGAAATAATCTGTAGACGGTAGAGTTTTCTCATAACATACAGTCTACTTGTAATTCTCAATGTAAATTTTAATATGTTTCTTTGCCAAGGAATGTTTCTCATTATTCGCAGAAAGAAAAGTTTTCAGAAGGATAATATTAATCTTTTTTTCTGTAAAAGTATATATTCCTGGTTATAAAGATGTTGTACATAACTGATTTTAGAGAAAGAAAAAATGGCTTTTCAGGAGAGTTATGCTGCATCTTATTGCTGAGGCAATAACAGATTCATTAATTTATGTTTTGGGGACCCAGTTTATCTTAAGCAGATCTACAGTAGCTAAAATTCTACAAAAAGAAATTTTTAACTTTAACTTCAAAATAGCATACTCTAATTAGGGTGACTACATAATTTGTTTTCTGAGCTGGGATACTTTTGAGAATGAGTAGGGATGCAATTAATAATTATGCCCTGACAACTTAGTGGTCAGGACCAATAGTCACCTTAACTTGAATGAAATAGCATCACCATTTTAAAGAGTTGAACATGAGTCAGGTACGTGGCACATGCCTGTAGTCTGAGCTACTTGGGAGGCTGAGGTAGGAGGAGCCTTTGAGCCAGGAGATCGAGGCCAGCCTAGGCAACATAGTGAGAGCCACTGTCTCTAAAAAGAAATGTTTTTTAAAAAGATGTTAGGTATATACCGTTCAGATTAAAAACCATTAGCTCTGACTTGCATTTTTACAATGGATAATATGCCAAACATGTTCTCTAATTATTGTTAAGTAGGTAAAAACAAAGGCCTGTTGATGGACTTAGGTAATTATTGAGGAATGAGTTTGGATTCTGTCCTTTATCTTACTGTTTCTTTGCAACATGGCCATTAATAAATTTATTAGCCTTTTTACATTTTACTTGCGCAAAATGGGTGGATGTGTTGAATTCGAATTTTTATTGTTAAGGGTAGACATTTCACCTTGCCTTTGTTTTAATTTTTTTATTGTCTACTATTTCTCTGCCAACTGTTTTCTAAAATTCTAATTTTAGAGATACTGTGCTATACTGTCTTGAATCTTCAGTGTGAACAGATGGTGTAGAAATAATTAAATAACACTATGTGACTCAACATCTTCCCTCCCCCTCCTTCTTTTCCATTGTGTATTTTTCTATAGTACTACAGTGATCACCTGTTCATTTTATGAGGAACATGGACAGGTGGGGTGATTCCCTCTCATATGTAAATCTTAAAGGAAATAATGCTAGGTAATTTAGTCAGGTGTTTAATGAGCATTTTTCATTGTACGATAGCTACAGGATTAATTTACCTTTTTCTATAAAAGCTCTTTTAGTAAATGATTAGTTGTATAACTGCTCTAATGTCTGCTATTAATAGATACCTTACTTGTTCTCAGGATCTTTTTACCACAAATAAGAGACCTCAAGGCATAAAACTTAATATAGTTCAGTCTTCAAGTTTCTTGAAGGAGAAAAAGGAATAAAAATATAGAGAGATAAAGATCTTAATTTCCAAATCCAACTCCCTTATTGACTCTTCTAGTGGCAGGGCCTGGATTTCTTAGGACTCCAGATTTCCTGATTACTCATCCAGGTTCCCTCTTCACCAAAGTAGGAGGGCTGTCCCAGCTTTTGAAGCCTAATTTCAGCTTTTCGTATTAGGAACAGAAAACCCGGCTGGGCGTGGTGGCTCACGCCTGTAATCCTAGCACTCTGGGAGGCCGAGGTGGGTGGATCGCTCAAGGTCAGGCGTTCGAGACCAGCCTGAGCAAAAGTGAGACCCCATCTCTACTAAAAATGGAAAGAAATGATCTGGACAACTAAAAATATATATACAGAAAAAATTAGCCGGGCATGGTGGCACATGCCTGTAGTCCCAGCTACTCAGGAGGCTGAGGCAGTAGAATCGCTTAAGCCCAGGAGTTTGAGGTTGCTGTGAGCTAGGCTGATGCCATGGCACTCACTCTAGCCCGCGCAACAGAGCGAGACTCTGTTTCAAAAAAAAAAAAAAAAACAGAAAACCCTGTTAATGCCATAAATTTGTTATTTGCTTATTAGTAAATGAACCTCAATTGAAACAGATTTAAGTTTCCAAAATTAGTTTTGGAATTTTTTAAAAGCATTCTAAATTTCCTAGAATAACACTAAGAGAACTTAGGAGAGACAATCATTTTAAAGGTGAAATTTCAGAGGGTTAAAAAAGGAATTTTAAGTAAAGGAATGGCAGCAATCTGGAGGTAGGTATTTTTGAAGCTAGAAGAGATAAAGACCCTTAGGAAGCAAACAGGGTTTCACAGTAGAGAGGGGTAATTCTGGTTTGGATGAGGCTAAGTGAAGACATTTTAGGAAAAGTTTGACTTAAGGAAGGCCTTTATAATGTTAAGCACTGAGATAGGTAGACTTTGAATGCTTAGCATCTTGTACCTTAAACCTAAAGGAGGGGAGGGAGTGAGGACTTCTTGTGGGAAGCATGCAAGTGTATCGGGATTCTTAGTGTGTGAATCTATTCAAGCAAGGTCTATCTCTTGGGCTGCAATATGTTACAAGTAAACTAGAGAAAAAATTCATTTCATCCTTTGGACAAAATGAAATTAGAGCAAAACTTCATACGTTGTAAAGCTCTGTGTAAGTATTAGATAATGTTCTACCGAAGTATAGACCTAAATATCTGGCATCAAAACAGTAACGAAAGAGGAATTAGGGGAGCAAGATAAGGAAGTACATGTCTAAAGGAGGCAGGGAGGTACAGAATGCCATGGGGGAGAGCCTAGCCTTGAGTAGATAGGATAGGAAGAGCTCTTTCTCTGCTTCCAGCTGGGCAAAATCAATGACATTTTGCCCTTTAGATTGGAAGAGTGAAATAAGTTTTTCTTGGACATCTTTTAAGATTGGAATGTCAAATGTTGACAACTTATTTAACAAGTGTTTTGTTTTTCTTAAAGTATGACATGTTTACTATTAGCTTTCTTCAGAAATATATCAGTTTGGGAGGGTTGTGGCTTTTTAGGGAATATTTGATGAATTTCCTTGATGCATCTGCCTGTTTCTACCAAATTATAATTAACACATTAACTGCTATGTGAGTTGTATTTAACTCAGGCTAGTTTTGAGCCCAGGGCCTCATGAAGCATATGTAACTCACACGTCTGTCTCTTACCTTGGGAGCCACGTGGTGCACAGGCAACTCACACTGCCATGCTGTAGCATACATGTTACATGATGGGTGGCCCCCTGGGCAAAACCCTGCAATTGGTTGGTGAAAATCTTGTTGGTGTTCTTGTTGCAATTAATATCGACAGTTTAATTGCATGTAACACACACAGAGAAAACAATGTAAAAAACCAAATTTTTCATTAAATTAAAATAGTTTTTGAAGTTTTTATTCCATTTTTATAATAAAACACCATAGCCCAAAGGAAATTTTTTTTTTCTAGTCTGGCAGTCAGTGTGTTAATTTGCCTTGAAAATGAGTATCTCTTACAATGAGGTTTAGTTTCTGTTGTAAGCCTAATATGCAAATTGTTGCTACTTTTTTAAAGTGTGC